TATGTCGTACACGATTCCGTTCGGAAATAAGTAAAAAAGGTGCTAGTGTGAGTATGCCCTTAGTTACCCATAACTTTCTACGCCATATATAGGGCCTCGCTGCACTACTCCAGACTCTTGAATTTTCGAGAGTGGGACGTCGCTGCACTTACTCTCGATTGGGAAACTCTCGAAACCTGATCGAGAGCTGCCAGAAGGCACGCTATATCGCCACTCTCGAAACGTCGACAGTAGCCCGTCTGCAAAACACGAATTTACAAGTGTCCTCGGGAATTGCCCGCCGACCGGCTTGTTTTTTCGAGAGTGGACCTCCTGTCCCGACGGCCAGACCAGCCTGTCGTTGTCCCGTAGCGTAGCGGTACATGTCTTCTGCCGAGTCCGACAACGCCCGGGGTTTCAAGAAAGCAACTAGTGTAACAGGTTCTACAGTAAGTGCAGCGATGGCGGGTATTTCGAGAGTCTCGCCTCGCTGACAACGCTAGTTGAACTCTTAAATATTCCAAGAGTCTAGAGTGGTGCAGCGAGGCCCATAGTTGGCCTGCTACAATCCTGCTACAAGGCCCATGACTGCCACTTACTTGGCGAGATCCTTGCTAGTTATCTGCAGGGTCTTGTCTGATTACCCGCATGGGTTTTCGGTTTATGCGAAAGGGCTGTTTGCTTGCTCTCCCTCTCTCTCTCTCTCTCTACATATATATATATATATATCGCGTGTATACACGCATGACGGCCGCCCTTTTTTTTTTTTTTTTTTTTTTTTTTTTTTTTTTTTTTTTCCCTACGCACAGGCAATCAGCGCACCACACAGCACACTTGTGCCGCAGGTATGATTTTCATTAAATGTTTGTTGTATGCACAGCTAGTATAATGTGCCATACAATAAGAAGATATTTCCCAATTTTTTTATTTTTTTTTCAAACAAAACAGCTCCATCCATTGGTGGGGAGCAACACCTGCTGGAAACCGGGTCCAGCGTCCCATAGATACAACCATATCCTCTTAATTTGACACTCACTGGGAACCGGGCCCCCCATCTGAGTCATCAGAATATTTCATGAATTTAGACAAAGAACAACTAGAAAAGTCCAAACAACAATTAGTGGAAGTCCTTCGAATGCTCAGAACCCCTGGAAACTCCCCACAAAAAACACTCTAAAATTCTCTAATATTGTCTTCCTCCCTGCCGAGCTCATGCCCCCACCCTGCTAGGTTACAGGGCAACACGACTCACCGCAGCTCCGGCCAGCGTCGTCCCGACAGCAACCCTTGGTTTTCCCTTAGAATGCCCGGCCCAAAGCATCCCCAGATCTCTCTTCCAGGCCTCACGCTCCTGCTATTAACACGTTACAGGGCAATCCCCCAGCACCGACCAGTGTCGTTCTGGCATCGAAAACCAACAGATCCATGAGTAAACAGCATCAAGGAAACCTAGACTGCTTTGCAAGAAGTGCCCAGAGTCCTAAACAATTCTCAAGACTACCTAAAATATCCAGAAACATCTCGAAACTGGCAAAGAAACCAGGGCCAGATTAAGAAATTTTTTGAGGTGACTATGACAAAATTCAGAAAGCGACTCAGAGAAACCCCCCATCAAACCTCTATGCGTCCCTCCGGCAAGACTAACTGCAACAGAGCCACCATCTCTGCTGCTGCTGTGCCATACTCTCATCCTACCAGCTAGCCCCCTCACTGATAGAACGCGTGATATCCCCCCATTTTCTTCTCCCACCCACCCTATTCTCTTCTCAAGGTACGTCATAACACATTACGGTAAAAAAACATGAGAATCGGCCGCAGGGGTCCTGCAAATGATCCAAAAAACGTTGAAGTCCCTCACATACCCTTCCGAAGTCTTCCAGAACTGTCCTACTCTCTGTCGAGCTCTTCCAGGTCTCCCACCCCCACATCTAGCTGGGTTACAGGGCAACACGACTCACCCCAGCTCCGACCAGCGTCATCCCGGCAGTAACCCTTGGATGTCCCATGGAATGCCCACCCCAAAGCATCCCCAGATCTCTCTACCAAGCCTCATGCTCCCGCGTTGCAGGTTACAGGTTAACTCCCCAGCACCGGCCACGGCGGCCAGCGTCGTTCTGGCATTGGACAACCGCAAATCACTGAGTACAACAACCTCGAAACCACCTCAGGATGAGTTAGCAAGAATCTCAAAATCCCTGAAGACCATCCAGGACCACCAAACGACCTAATCTTATCGCTATAAACTTTATGAGAACAGGGGGGGCGAAAATAAAACGCCTTCTATCCTAAAAAACCCCCTCAACAGACGAAGTGTCAGTCCAGGCTTTCAGTCTTCGTTCCCCCTCTCAGCTAGGGTGACAGGGCACCACAACCCTCCCCAGTACCGACCAAACTCGTTCTGACGGTCAGGAATGCCTTCCTCCCTCGGCTGTTTCTGTGGCGGCAAGCCCCTAGCCGGTTATAGGGTCAATACCCCGACGCCAGCCTCGTTGGACGGTCTGGTTATGCGCTCAGCATAACTTCACAGGCCTCAAGCTCCCCCCCGGGTTACAGAGCACAAGCTCCAGCACCGGCCTGTGTCGTCCCAACACCGTCCTTCTAACCTACTTACCCTGACCAACGACCCTCCTCTGTTAAGGGCCCCTTCTTCCTTCCATCCCCAATCCCAGCTTCACACCCCTAAGAAATCAAAGGCTTTTTGAAAATCGAAATTGGAAAATGAGATCAAATAGCAATCACGGAAATTTTTGACATCCAATTCAGAAGATCAATCGCAGACACAGGTTGATAGATTTCAAAATTTCAAGATGAAAAACGGAATAGGAAGTTGATTTTGATGTCCTTACGGACTTTCGACTCTGATTTCCAGAACTCTGGTTCTAGAAATCGCTCAGATCTAGATCAAGAATTTGTAAACTGTAATCAGAAGGTTCTAAGCAATCAACACTCTAGACAGGACATGAGAAAGAAGATGCAAACTATCGATCAGGATCTATAAAAACACCTAGCACAAGAATACGGCATGTAGAATAAGAGATTAAACTTTTCAGAGTTCAGAACTTAGAAACTTACCACACGAGTCAAGATATTCCAATTAGGTGGCGAGAGAAACAACATAACCTAAAACCAAAAGGCTCCGTAGCACCAATATTAGCTCGTCATCATTTGGATCATCACCAGGGATAACGATATAGAAGAGACGAATAGGTAATACAAATTCTGGCGGACTATCGTGGGAACAGCCTAATCCCCGAAGCCCTACGCCAGATACTATGGGAAAATAAAACAAAAATTCGGTTCACTTTTTGAGAAACCACCGCGCGCCGAGCTCCCATCGCCTCGTAAAATTGTCTCGTTCTTGTAAAATCGCCAGTTCTTCAGGTCATCTCAAGACACTCCACTCGAGCCGTCTCCAGATCCCACTGCCATACCGCCGTCCCGACCAAACTCATCCCCCTCCTCTTCTTGCGAGAGGAACACCCTCTCCTCCCCATAGCCAGTGCTAGGACAGCCCTTTAGCAAAGTGCACTAGCTAGAAGAGATACTCAGGACACCGCCGCCTCCATAAAAACTTCCAGAAGGCGATTGTGTTGTGAGTGACCGCGTCAAGCCCGTCAACGCAGCCTCACAGAGAGTTCGATCCCTGCACAGCGACCTTCAACAGCTGGATCGGAAGAAACAGGAGACGGAGAACGAGGTAGGAAGAGGGAAAAAACCAAGACACTCTCCTTCGATATACCCCCTCCCTCTTCTTTCCACACGTGGCGTCCCACATCTTCCCCACCATAATCCGCCTCACACTACCCTCCGCTGTCCACCCCGAAGCGCCTTCACTCTTTGTTGCTGTTGCCGTGCCGAAAGTTAGAAGGTCATTTAAGATGCTGGCGCCTTCCCATCCACGATAGCTACCTTACCCCCGCCACTCCCACCACCACTCCCACCACCACACCCCCTCCCAACCCCTACCACCATACCGCAGCGCCCTCACAACCTCGTCACGAGTCACTCCAGCCATCGCCCTTGCTCACCCACCTCTTGCTGCTCGTCGCGCCCATAGCGCCCTCACAACCTCGTCGCAAGTCACTCCCGCCATCGCCTTCGCTCGCCCGCCTCGTGCTGCTCGTCGCGCCAACCAGTTCGCGTCGTAGCGGAGGGGCGCAGCGCTCCCGGTAGCGCCGCGCCCCCTCCCAGGGGACACGCCAGCTCCGGGTCCAGTGTCCCCCACTGCCATCAGTTATACCATTGATAGTTCCCAGATTGATATTCTTTTTTTTTTCCTTTTTTTTTTAACTGCCTTCTCCTCATCAGGGGACAGCCATATATTTTGCTCTCCACCTCAAGTATGTTTAACTGGCGTTCTGCCATGTCATGGAACATATCTTTCTTTTCACTACCTACCTACCATGACTCCTAAGGCTATACAGGGGATCCCTGCAAAAGGCTGCAAGCACAGTTTTCTACCTCTCTTCCGTGAAGGGATGTTAGGTACCGGCATGTTTGCCCCTTTGCCTTAGTGTTTTAGGGTGCAGTTGGGGCCGCCGGTGGGGCCCCGGCTAACACAAGGACCCAGCATTTGCCAGTAACTGTGCCCCCCTTTTCACCTTCCCCCACCCCCATCGAGTAACAGTAGTGTCTAAAGCCAACACTCTCCCACACACCACACACAACCCACTCACACGCGCACTCACACCCGTGTTGGCTGAAGACCTTACTGATACGACTGGGAGGATCCAGCTGACTATCTCAGTTGGTTGGCACCAAGAGTGCCACAGGCGGCCATGGGGATTGAACCCACAACCTCCTGAATGCCACTTGCGTGCCTAACCAATTGAGCTAGGCCGCTAGATTCTTTTTTTTTTTTTTTTGGTTGCAAGAAAAGCTAGGTGTGATGATAAGAGCATTCACCCCTTAGCTAGCTATCTTGCTGGTGACTCCAGTCTATTGGTGGGCTTTGTCGCAGCCAGAATAATCTTGTATTGGATCTGTGTTGGATGTGTTTTCAATTCCTCTGTTGTTTTCAGGCAGCAGATGGCGGGTTCCCAATGCTATAGTCAATGCAGCAAAGGGGTTCAGTATGGGAAACCTTGTCTTGAAAGGGTAAGTACATGTGACCCAAACTTATAATTGTTTGCTATTGTATTACCATTCTAATGTTACTTTGAGATGGATGATGCAAGGGTTTAAGGGTTAAAGGGCTCAATGGGACGAGGAGGAATGTGACCACCCTCACTACTACTCGGTACCCAGCACCCGCACAAATGGCAGGGCAAATTTCTGGCTTATTCACAAATGGCAGGGCAAATGGCTAGCATATCAAGGTGCAGTTTTCGCGGCATTCCTTCAACCCGAAGATGCACTCCCTCTTGCATTCTCCATTTGAACTGTTTAATATGATTTTTCAAATGTGAAAGGGGATGCTGGACCTGTTTCCCAGCAGGTGCAGCTCCTCACCAACAGATGGAGCCTCGCCGCGAAAGCATGAGGAGTGTGCTCCTACCAGCACCTCAAGCTATTTCCGGGGCTGTTGTCCAAAATAAAAAAAGAGATTGATGATGTTCCTTAGCCACATGTTAAATTCATTTGGTGACTGAATGCCTACGTTTAAGTGTGCGGATGAGCCTGAAGCTAAGAGAGATTTGTTCAAAGAAAAAAGAAAAGGGGAGGTTTGGTTCCACCTGTTGGGCATGTTTAAACCACCGGTACTGGGAGGTGTTCTTTTGCCGAAGAGTGGATTTCCCCCAGGGCAACTGGTGTGGTCCCTTTTGTGGCTGGCACCACCAGTCATTTCATTCCGGTAGGCTGACCCCCGAAACTTGTAGTGCGTGCACAGTCAAGTCGCTGCAGTTGGAAAAAAATGGCTGGGAAAAGTACTGGTGGTGTAATTGTTTTTTTTTTTTTTTTTTTTTTTTTTTAAA